TTCCTTGGAATTCACCTGCAAAACCGTCTGGCCTAGACCTTTTGTTCCTGGGGATTTGAGTACTGATCCCATCTCTCTGCTTGCTGTGAAGTCTCTTGAGGTTTTCTGTTTCTTCTTGTATCAATTTAGGTAATTTGTGTGTTTCAAAGAATGTGTCCGTCCATGTTGCCTAGGATGCTTAACTCACTGGTGTGCAGTTGTTCCTCGTTTCCTTTTACGATCCTCTTGCACTGTGTAAGTCAGTTGTAATATTCCCACTTTCTTTTCTGTGCGTTTTTGTTTTTTTGAGGCAGGCTCTCACTATGTAGGTCAGGTTGCCCCTTTCTTCTCAGGGGACACAGTTTTATCTACAAGAGTTACCTTGTTGGAAGGTGGGGTCCTTCCAGATGAGATGAAGTCACACAGGATTGGATGCTCCCCGCATCCAGTGACTGGTGTCACTGTAAAGACACAGGGCCTACTGGGACAGGTACGGGGATGACGGCACACAAAGACAGAGATTCTGTGTGATTTAGGCATGAGCCACAGAATACCCAGGATTGGAAGCCCTCAGCAGAAACCAGGAGACAGACAGGACAGATTTTTCCCTCAGTGTCCAGAAGGAACCAACCCTATTTTTTTTTTCAAATACAAAATATTTATGTGCTGGGGATTTAACTCAGTGGCACTGTGCCTGCCTCGAAAGCGCAAAGTCTTGAGTTTGATCCCCAGTACCAAAAAAAAAGAAGAAAGAAACAAAATATTTATTACACAAAAAAGTAATAACTGACAAGGGCCGGGGATTTAGCTCAGTGGTTTTGCCGCCTGCTGCACAAGCGCAAGGACCCATGTTTGATCCCTGGTATCAAAAAAAACAAAAGTAATAACTGACAAACTACCAATATGTTGAACTTAGAAAAAGTACTGTTATTTCGTACCTCTTAAAAAAAAAAGACATACAAAAAAAAAGACATTTTTATTATTCAAGCTAACTTACTTCCAAGTTATAAAAGTTACAAAATTTTGGTTTAAAAAAATGCTTCTCTATGACTGCCTGGATTTATTTTGCTATGCCATGACAAAACAAAGTATCTTTGAAATGCTTTGGGTATTTAAATGGATGTTTGTAACATAAATTTATATAAAGAACTTTTATGTCAGTAACAGGCCAACATATACCCTCCCTAATCACCCTTTTAGTAGAAACAGGAACCATTAATGATGCAGAATAAAACTTAGAGTACCTCTAAATTTACATATAGCACAATAAGCAATCTGACTAGGCTAGTGATATTTAAAGAATATGGTTAGTCAGGGCTGGGGATTTAGCTCAGTGGTTCTGCCACCTGCCTTGCAAGTGCAAGGTCCTGAGTTCAATCCTTGGTACCAAAAAAAAAAAGAATATGGTTAATCACGCTCTTCTGGTTATTACTGAATATGCTAGTACTCTCATCAAATGAATAGTATTTCCATTATCTCATATTTTCCTCTATAGTCCTTGTCTCCAGGTGGAACCAACCCTGTTAACAGGCTGATTTTGGATTTCCCACTTCCTGAAATTTTTGAGAGTAAATTTCTAGATTTATTGATTTACTTATCCTTTTGTGACATTGGGAATTGAACCCAGGTCCTTTGCTTTGAGCTACATCTCCAGGCCTTTTTTAATCTTATATATATTTATTTAGGTACTGGGGATCAAACTCGGGACCTTGTGCTTGCAAGGCCAGGCAGCAGATTTTTTTTAACTTTTGAGATAAGATCTTCCTAAGTTATGCAAACTGGGCTCCAACTTGCAATCCTCCTGCCTCAGCCTCCGTCTGGGTAGATGACAGCAGAAGGGAGGCTTTGCCAGTCTGAGTGTAGCCGTTTTCTGGCAAGAGCTGTACGTAATGTACTTCCTGTCTCTGAAAAACCAGGTTGCCAGGCAACAGGTGGTGCACACCTGTAATCCCACCTCCTTGGGAGGCCAACGGGAGGACCAGGACCGCAAGTTTGAGTTCAGCCTGAGCAATTAAGTGACTCAGTGAGACCCTGCTTCACAGAAATAAAAGAATAAAAAGGAAAGAAGGAAGGAGAAAGCAAGCAAGCAAGCAAGCAAACTAGCAGGAAGGTGACAGAAGGGGATGGGTTGTGTAACAGACAATCCAGAGCAACCACTGAAAAGTGCCACAAGGCCACTGAGAGGAGAGGTGGCGGCTGAAGACGCGGGGCGCTCGCCACGCCGAGAAAAGGCCAGGAAGGGTCAGGAGAGAGCGGACGACAGGGATCGTGCGAGTGGCAGGCGGGCAACTCCGGAGGCGGCCGCAGCTCCCCGAGCTCCGATCCCGCCACCCGGCCCCGACCCCGGGTCGCTCACCTCCCTCCGCTCCTGCACCGCGTGGCTGCTCCTCCGTGACCGGAGGTGAGGGTGTCACGGACACCCCAGGGAGACCAGGCGGGTACCCTAGTTCCATGACAGTCACCCCCCTCCCCAGAGCTGCCCTCGCTCGGCCCGGACCCTTCTGCTCCAGTAAGATATTTCGCTCTGTTTTAACAAAATCCTTGCCTACCTTGTTAGATGGCGGAAGGTTTTCCATTTATCATTGTAAAACCAAGGACAGTTTTATAATTTTTTTGTATATGACTCTTACATGTAGGGCAATCTGTCTTTAAGAGTAAATTACTTTTTTTTGGGGGGGGGACTGGGGATCGAACTTGGGACCTTGCGCTTGCAAGGCAGACAACAGAACCACTGAGCTAAATCCCCAGCCCAAATTACTTTTTTTTTTTTTTTTTTAAAGAGACGGTCTTGCTTTGTAGTTCAGGCTGGCCCTGAACTCACAATGTAGCCCAGGCTGGCCTCGAACTCTCGACAATCCTCCTTCCTCAGCCTCCCGAGTGCTGGGATTACAGGCATGTGCCACCACGCCCGACAAGAATAAATTACTCTTATAAAAAAATAAAAGAATCCTAATTTCTCCTTTAAATCAAGTATCTTGTTTAAACTTCTTGTTTAAAAAAGGAAAAAGGGGCCAGGGATTTAACTCAGTGGTTCCGCTGCCTGCTTCGGAAGCTCAAGGATCCGAGTTCGATCTCCGATACCAAAAAAAAAAAAAAAAAGAATTTAAAAAAGGAAAAAGACCATTGGGAGGCTGAGGCAGGAGGATCACTGCGAGTTTGAGGCTAGTCTGATAGACAGAGTGAGACCCTGTATCCAAAAAATGATCAGGAAAGAAAGTGACAAGAATGATGGGATAATAAGTGTGCTCGAAGTGAGAGGGAGGATTTTGAGGAAGATTCATAGTGATATACCTTTACTATAATAAATATTTATTCGAACCCACACCATAGTTTTATATCAGCCCTCATACATATGAAAAATATATCTCTCAAATGTCTCACCAAAAAAAAAGGTTGAAAATAAAGATATGCACTTGAATATTTCGCTTTTTGGTGTTGCGCAACTCTGTAGCCCCCTCGTTCATCTGCCTAGAGTTGAGCTTCACAACACGCGCATGGATGTCGGGTTTTAGCGAATACGCACCTAAGGTCCCCAACCAGGCCCTAGTGTCCCGGAATCAGCGCCTGGTTAATTGCAGAAGCGCAGCCCGGTGGCTCCCTCTAGTGGCTGCTCCTCCTCGCTGCACCTGCTCTCTAATTTGGCTCATCAGCTTGAGAATGCGGACCGATGCGTTTCCCACCTGAGGAGTGAAGCGCAGCCTCCATTTCCTAACCTGTTCATCACCGACTTCTTCTCTTCACTTAGCCTGAAGGGTCTCACTGTAATTCAGGCTGGCCTTGAAATCGCAGGGATGCTCCTGCCTCAGCCTCCCGAGCGTTGGGATGACAGGTGTGCACCACCACACTAGCTCCAAGGAATCTTCGAATTCACTCTGTTCTAGTTCTCCTCCGTTCCTATGGATTAGGGTTACTACTTTAACATCATCTGTTGTTTGGTAGGCGGAAGCCTCTCCTGACCTCTCTTCTGGATGTCAGGTACTGTTCTAGATGGAGGCACAGAGGAGGCACTGGGGGCTCTGTTCAAACGCTGCTGCTTCTGGACCAGATGGTTGGGGTGGAACCAGCTATGGCACTGTCTTCAACTCTGCATAGCACAGTTCTAGAGACCCGTGAGGAGCTCACGGCCGAACCCCCAGGGAATTGTTAGAGTTAGCTCTGATCTGCTTTTCTTTTGGTGTTTGTGAGACAGCCTCGAGTTGTCCAGGCTGGCCTTGAACTCACTCTGTAGCCCAGGGTGGCCTCTAACTCCTGGAGATCCTCCTGCCTCAGCCTCCTGAGTGCTGTGATTGTAAGCATGCACCACCTTGCCCAACTTGGCTGACCTGAGATGTTCATTTTTGACTCATTCTCCTGAGAGGATGTGGACAGGAACCACCTTGGAAGATTGTGGCTGTGACCTACAGCTTTGGTTCTTTCCGGAATTTGGAATCATTTCCCCTCTGCTGGGATTTTGGTTCCTTAGCTTACAAAAAGCTTCTTGCTCCCAGAATCACCTCCAGCCTTACTCATTCTTCTTTCAGTTTAGCTTATTTTTCTTTGTTATCAATAAAATGTGAAGAACAGATTTTTTTATGTGTGATACTGAGGACTGAACCCAGGCCTTTGCACTGAGCTACATCCCCGGATCGTTTTAGAATCTTTTGAGACAAGGTCTTGCAGTCACTAGATTACCCAGGCTGGGCTTGAACTTGTGATCCTCCTACCTCAGCCTGCCAAAGTGCTGGGCTTACTCGTGCCCCATCACGCCCCCTGAATCCCCGACGTTTCCTACAGGATTGTGGTGTTGTGTAGATGAGGTCTTCTGTCCCGTCTCTCGCACACTTGCTACCTGCCCAGCCCAGCTGCGTGTTACCAGCCCCCCTTGGCTGCGGCTCTGAACCCCACATCTCTGTGGGCCTCACCTCACGATTAGCACCCGGGACTGATCAGCACATGGCTCCCGGGGGGAGAAGGTAGCACCCTCACTGTGCATGTGTGTGTGCATGCTCATGTGCGCGATCCAACTCACACGCACTCTGCCATTGAGCTCCATCCCCAGCCCTTTTTATTTTTTATTTTGAGACAAAGTCTTGCTAAGTTACTAAGCTGCCCAGGCTGGGCTTGAACTTGGGATCCTCCTGCCTCAGCCTCCTACAGTGCTGAGATCACAGGCCTGACCACCATGCCGGGGTCCATCTGGAGCTTTGTAAGCAGCTGACGGGACCTTGGCATTCACGTCACCCCTGCAGTCCTGGCACAGGGCTCGGCCCGGGCCACCTGCTCCGAGGTGCCAGGGGAGAGGGGAGAGGGCAGCAGGGAGGGCCCAGCTCGCTCACAGGGGCCACCAGGGCTCCAAGGACGCCGGGCGGCCGACACACTCTAGCTGGCCGCCCCCTGCTCCCCGTCCCCTCTCCGCTTCCTCCATGGCTGCCGGACGGACCCTCAAGAAGCCCCAGGAGCCAGGCTGGGCAGGAACAGGCGGCGTCTGCTTCACTGGGGGGCGGGCGCGGGGATCCGCGCCTGCTGTGCCCGCAGCAGGCCCCGCACCTGGCCGATCTGCCAGTCGACGCTGCAGAGCGCCGTGCCGCCCAAGGCGCTGTACTGCTCCACGCTGTGCCCGTAGTCCCACACACGGCTCACGTCGCCCGAGAACAGGGGGCTGCCGGGACAGGGCGCGGTGGGCGGGGCGGGCCGGAGAGGGGCGGGGAATGGAATGGGGCGCGGTGGGCGGGGCCGGCAGCGCACCTGATGGTCTGTAGCTCCCGCAGCGACAGCTGGCTCAGGGCCACGCCCTGGGTCTCGGCAGCGCACACGGCTTTCCCGGAGGCCTCATGCGCCTGGCGGAACGGCATCTGGGGGCGGCCGGGCGGTGCTGATGCCAGCGTCCTCGCTCTGACCGCCCCCGCCCCCGCCGGGGACGTCCCTCTGTCCCCGCACGCCCCCGCCGCCCACTCACCCCTTTGCGGACCAGGTAGTAGGCGAGGTCCGTGGCCAGCATGTCAGGGCTGAGCGCCCGCACCATGTTCTCACGGTGAATCTGGGGACCAGCGGCCACTGTGAGTCCAGACACCCCGGGGCCTGCGGGTGCCAGGCCCTGGTCCCCGCCTGCCAGGATGCCTCCGCCCCCGGTGCAGCGCCTCTCGCCCCTGCTCTTTGGGCTAAATGTGGTAGCCCAGTACGGGGGAGGCTGGGGGAGGCTGAGGGAGGAGGATCACCATGACTCTGAGGGCTGCCTGGGCTACACGGTGAGTTCAAGGCCAGCCTGAGCGACATAGTGAGACCCTGTCTCAAAAGCAAAACAGAAACACTAGGCTCTGGCGTACAGTCTGACTCAGTTGGTCTGGTACGGATCTCTATCAGATTCTCAGGGGAGGCTGGTGCTGCTGAACAGGAGACCACACCTTGAGAACCCGTGCTGGGAAGACACCCCGAACTGTTCAGGGATGAAATGAAGATGCCGGAATCGGCCCCAGTTATGGGGGGAGCTGGAGCAGGAGTGAACGAATGATTATTGTTAAAGCTGGGTCTGGGCATGCAGGGCTTTGTGACACATTTCCAACTACTGTTTACTGGAATATCCCACAAGAAACGATTTTTTAAAAATCTGGCTGGATGTGATAGTGCATGCCTGTAATCCCAGCACTCTGGGAGGCTGAGGAAGGAAGATCACATGTTTGAGCCCAGCCCAGCCAACTTAGTGATTTAGTGAGACCCTGTCTCAAAATAAAAAATAAGAAAAGGGTTGGGGATGTAGCTCAGGGTAAAGGCCCTGGGTTCAATCCTCAAGAGAGAGAGAGAATAGAAGGAGGAGGAAGAGGAGAAGAGAGGGGAAGGAAGGGAAAAGATAAAGAAGCGAAGAAATGAAAGAACAGGAAGGACAGGAAAAGAAAGGATGTGCTCTGGCCAGTGGACAGGACCTGGGTCCCCCAGCCCCAGTGGCCTCCTTTGGAGACCCCCGTCGTGCCCCCTGCAGACCTGGCAGGGACCCAGCCCTGGGACGGGGAAAGTCTTGCCTGCAGTGTGGAGATGACACCTGTGGCCACCTGCAGGACTGCGCTCATAGTGTCACACACCTCAAACACGGCTTCCTTGTCCTCCTGGGGGCGCACGCAGGGGTGAGGCCTGTGACCCCGGCCCCCACAGGGCACAGGCCGCCATCCACTCTCGCCCGTGGTGAGGGACGGCGGGGTGCACGGGGCACGACGTGGCTGCCCTGGGGGTCCCCGCCACCCCAGCCCCGCACCTGCAGGTCCTTGTTGTAGGTGCTCGGAAGTCCCTTAAGGGTCATCAGGAGCCCAGCGCACTGCAGGAAGAGGCGGCTCAGGAGCCAGCATAGGACTGAGAAGGACCCCACGGGCCTGGCCACCCTTCCCACTGCTCACCCGTCCAAACACACGGCCCGCCTTGCTGCGGATTAGCTCCAGGCTGTCGGGGTTCTTCTTCTGGGGCATCAGGCTGCTTCCAGTGCTGGGGACAGCAGCTGGGCTGAGTCTGAGGGAGTTGGGGAGCCATGGCGGTGGGGCGGAGATGGTGACAGAACAGGGCCTCACCTGTAGGCATCAGAGAGCTGCACGAAGCCGAACTCCTTGGTGCCGTAGAGGATGAGGTCCTCTGCCATCCTGCTGAGGTGGGTCACGCACAGGGACGCCCAGAACAGGAGCTCCACTGGGCAGGGGAGGGGACAGCAGTGCTCGGCCACTAGACTTCTTGGTCCCCACCCAGCCCAGAGAAGCTCCAGGGGTGAGAAGAGACTGGAGAGAAGCCGGGGTTGGGCAGGAGCAGGGTGGCACCTGCGACTCACCCACAAAGTCTCGCTCGCTGGTGGCATCCATGCTGTTGAGCGTGATGGCCCCGAAGTTCAGTTCTGGGGGAGGGGACATGGGGCTGGGCAGGAGGGTGGACCCCAAAGCAGCCACCACTATCTACCTCGCCATCTCCCAGGAAGGGTGATGGGGGTGGGGACAAGGTGGGGACAGGGTCCCAGTGCAGGTTAGGGATAGGGCCGGACCCCTGAGCTTCCCCAATGCCGGGCTCCCCCGCCACGGGCAGCCTGGGTCTCAGCAGCCTCAGGTAGGAAGGCAGAGCCTGCTCCCTCGCCCTGTGTGTCGGGGACAGGGTAGGTGTGGGGGACAACAGGGAGGAGGCGGTGCGTCTCACCTGCTCGGAGCAGCTCCCGGTCCACACCCAGAGGGTTGCCTGCAATGGCCCCACTGCAGGGATAGGGGTCAGAGGGGACAGGTGTCAGAGGGGACAAGGCTCCGTGCGCGGGCACGCACACACACACACACACACACAGAACCAGGACTTGGTGGCCCTGGCTCAGCCTTGGGCTTGGCCTCTCTCTGTCCTGGCCACCTTGGATACCAGAATACTTGGACCCATGCAGGGAACAGCAGGTCGTAGGCAGCTGGCCATGAGGGAGCTTTCTCCCTGCTCGGACACATTAGCAGCTTGGCTGTCCCCAGCTGAGAGGCAGCTGGAGGCCCACAGAGTCCCCCTCCTGGCTCACGAGGTACCGTTGAAATATACAGTGAGTGTTTACATAAACATTACTATAGTAACAGTCACATTGCCATGAGTCGCCGTCAGAATCTTCCCCCTCACATTGAACACGCATCCCATCATTTTTGCTGCTTTTTTTTTTTTTGGTACCGGGGATCAAACTCAGGTCCTTGCGCTTGGGCTTGTGCAGCAGGCAGCAAAACCACTGAGCTAAATCCCTGGGCCCTTTTGCTGCTTTCTGAAGCAGCTCTGAAAGTTCTCTTTTTTGAGTGTCTTTACCCCATGTGATAAAAATGCAGTGAATGCTGCTGCCGAGTGCCATGCAACAGAGAGGCAGGCTGGTAAGTACATGAGTACCCGCATCCACCTTGTTCACTGGAACTGGCTCTTGCCAAAGTCAAAATGACGGTGAAAGGGAAACACTTTGAATCGATTCAGGACATCGAGGCTGCCACAACAGCCCAACTAAGGACACTCAGGAAAAAGGCTCCAGAGCTGCTTCAGAAAGTGGCAAGGGCAATGGGACAAAAAGCAAGGGGAGGATTCTGGGAGGGATTCATGGCAATGTCTTTTACTGTAATACACTTTTTAAGACTTAAGCATTCACCATATTTTATGATCGTGCCTCCTAGCACCCTGCTGCTTGTCCCCTCTGTCCCTGGCTTCTCATGCCACTCCCAAAGGACCATGCTGACTATGTTGTACCTCTCCCTGCCGCCCTGGGGCCCTGCGGCCTCACTCACCTCCCCAGGGGCAGGACGTTGATCCGATTCTGCACCTCCAGCAGTCTCTCCGAGTCCCGGGTCAGCGCCACCGCGTGGCTGTGGGAAGCCAGGGCTGCGGGATCAGGGCAGCTGGTTCCACACAGTCCCACACAGTGCCCTGCATGGCCCCAGCTCACCTCAGGATCCAGTGGCTCCAGCGGATGGGCTGGGCCCTCTGGAGGTGCGTGTACCCTGGGAAGAGGACATCGCGTTCCCTGCAGGGACGAGAGGAGTAGGGGCTTGAGGGCTGGGGCCAGGCAGAGCCTGCCTGGAACACCAGGACCTGGGGCCTCCAGGGAGAGCGAGGCGGCCCGAAAGCCCCTGCCCACACGAGGGACCAAGCAGTCTCCTGGGGAGATAGGTCTGTGATGGTTTAGATCCAAAGTGTCCCCCAGTCTCCCGTGTGTGGGAGGTGACTGCATCACCAGGTGCTGTACTCATTGGTGGATTCATCCATGGTTGAGTTCAGAGCTGAATGTGCTCTTAGGAGCTGGGGCCCTATTGAAGGTGGTCTCTACGAGGGTAGCCTGGGAGGATTAGTTCTTGTCTCTTGCTCTTTCCTTCTCTGCTTCCAGGCTGCCATGGGTTGAGTCTGTCTTCGCCCAGGCCCTTCCTCCATGCTGTTGTTGCTTTGAGCCAGCTGACCATGGACTGAACCCACTAAAACTGTGAGCCAAATGAACCTTTCCCTCTTTTAACTTTTAGGGTGTCTTCCTAGCAACAAGAAAGTGACTAATATAAGATTAAAGGAAAGCTGGGCATGGTGGCATACACTATAGTCCCAGCACTTGGGAGGCTGAGGCAGGAGGATCACAAGTTAGAGCCCAGCCTGGACAACTTAGCAAGACCCTGTCTCAAAATTTAGAAAAAAACTGGGGGGAGGCCCAGGGATGTAGCTCAGTGTGAAGGCCCCAGTTCAATCCCTAGTACCTGTGAATGAATGGCAGGGCAACGGCAGAGGAGCTGTTGGGTGGTGATTATTTTTAAATATGTAAAACATTTAATTTACCCATTTAAAGTGTACACTTCAGTTTGCAATTATCACCTTGGTCAATTGTAGAAGACTTTCATTACCCCAGGGTGACCATCCTTATGCCTTTATGTGCCCCAGCATAAGGGGTCACAGGGCCCCAGGAAAGAGCAGGGTCAGCCCCGTCCCGGACACCACACAGGGACTCGGCAGCCCCTGGGCCAGGTCTGCAGGAGCAAAGCCTGGAAGACACTGAGGTGCGGAAGCCCAGGCTTGGGGACACCAGGCGGAAGGGGACCCGGGGCTCCAGGCTCTGGCCACCTGGCCACCTGGGGCTGCCTGCCTGTGACCTCTCTTACGCCTCTGCCCGGTCCACCATAGTCCTGATGAGCTCCCACAGGAGGCCCGTGAGCATGGTGCAGGTCTGCCGCATCCACAGCCTGAGGTCCGTCACCACCTGGTCGTTCCGGCTGCGTCCTGTGTGCAGCTTCCCCGCCGCATCTCCAATGAGCTCCTGGGGTGGCAGAAGCACAGGGTCAGGGCTGCTTGCCACCTCAAGGGGTGACCCAGGCCTGGCCCTGCACCGGCTTCTTCCCAGCTCTGCGGGGTCCCCCAGTTCCACACTGTCCCAAGGACGACGGGAACGGAATGAGGGGGAGGGAGGCCAGCCGAGCAGAGGGGACGTGGGGACACCCCACCTTCAGGCGCCGCTCATTGGCTGTGTGGATGTCCTCATCGCTGGGGTGCAGCTTGAAGGTGCCCTGGGCCCACTCCTCTGCCACCTGGAGTGGGAACAGCCCAGGTCAGGTGGGGACATCAGCTGCTGAGAGGACCCCAGCCTGGTTTCCTGTCCCAGATGGCTGAGTGTCCTTGTGGGGAAACTGAGTCCTGCCGTGCCCTGCTACCCCATGGGAGCATCTCAGGTGCCCCCCCCATCTTTTCCCGTGACCCAGGAGGTTATGGGAGTCCTTAAAAGATGAGGAGAGTGGCAGATTGGTGGCAAATGTCTCAGCACCAAGGGAGGCTGAGGCAGGAGAAGCTCAAGTACAAGGCCCACCAGGGCAATTTAGAGAAAGACTCTCAAAATAAAAAAATTAAAAAGGGCCCAAATGTCGTTCAGTGGTAGAGCACTCCTGGGTTTGATCCTCAGGATAATAAAAGAGAAAGAAAGAAAGAGAGAGAGAGAGAGAGAGAGAGAGAGAGAGAGAGAGAGAGAGAGAAGAAGAAAAAAAAGGAAGGAAGGGAGAGAAAGAGAGAGAGAGAGAAAGGAAGGAAGGAAGGGTGAGTACCTGGTCCAGGCCTCGCAGGATCTGGTCCATCTCGGCCCTGGTGAGGAGTCCCGCCTTCTCCAGGCCCCGGCTGTAGGCCTTGCTCCCCTGCACATCCGCCTCCCACAGGTGCCGGTCGTAGGCAATGGATGCATTGAATCTCTCCATGACGGGGTCCACCGCACCCACAAACCGGCCACCCCACAGCTTCCCGCTCTGGCCAGGAGAGCAGGGGCAATGAATTAATCACCTTCCCTCACACCAAGAAAGAGCCTTTCAAAAAGAGCACTCAGGGCCAGCCAAAGAAGCACAGGCCTGTAATTCCAGTGCTCCAGGAGGCTGAGGCAGGAGGATCAAAAGTTGGAACCTAACTCGGCAACTTAGCAAGACCCTGTCTTAAAATGAAAAATAAAAAGTGTTGAGGACATAGCTCAGGGCAAAGGCTCTGGGTCCAGTCCCTGGGACTGCAGGGAGAAAAAGTTGTCAGGAAAGATATGAACAGGTGCATTCTCCCTGGACAGATATGGAAGTGGAACTCCTAGGGGTAGGGGCTGTGGCTGTGCAGGACATCAGGCAAGCTGAGAAGCTGCTCTGAAAGCTCAGTTTTAATCCAGCCCCACTGTGCCAAGGGACAATTGCATACACCCGCTGACACCACAGGCACCTCCACCGGGCTGTGTACGAGCTGACTCCTCTGTGCTCGACAGCCCTGGTGCCAAAGGACTCTGACCCATGGCAGCCTCTGCCCCTCGGCCTCGTGTGGCCCACCCCCAGCCATCCCACTAGGACCTGATCTCCACCCAAGCTCCACAGGGGCTGGCGCTGGTGGCGTAGGCTGTCATCCCAGCACACTGGGAGGCTGAGGCAGAAGGATCGAAAGTTTGAACCCAGGCTAGGCAATTTAGCAAGGTGTTATCTCAAAAAAAAAATTTTTTTTAAGGGCTGGGGATGTAGCAACTTAGTGACTTGGTGAGATCCTGTCTGAAAATTTAAAAATGGCTGAGGCCCTGGGTTCAGTCCCCATTACCAGGAAAATAAAGCACCATATGGCGCCCTGGTCCAGAAGGTCCAGGCCTGGAAGCCCTCATAGCAGCTTCTGGGCCTCTACTCCTTGTTGGTAATAACAACAATTCCCTGACAGGCAGGCTGAGCCAAAGCAATTAGCACCCACCCACTGGAGGCCCGGGGCAAGCTCGGGTCAGCAGCCTGGACTGCAGGACCCTGTGCTTCTGGACCAGGCCCCACCCTGGGCTGCCTGGTAAAGTGGTCTGGGGAGGTCAGAGGCCGGTGCCACCCTCAGGGATGAGGAGGGCGGGAAGCCCAGCGCAGATGCGGCTCTGGCCAGGGGACTCCTGGTCCTGCGGAGAGGACTGGCGGCAGCGGCAGCAGCGATGTCACTCTGGGCCCATTTCTGCAGCACTTTCTTGGCTGAGTCCGGGGGCGGGGGGTGGGGTGAGGGGGGAGACTGGACATGGGGCCTGCGCCTCCCTCCAGCTAGGCACGGCGACCCTGCTTGTCTCAGCGGGATTCAGGGAGCTCAGGTGACTCTGGTATGGAAACCGGGTCTGTGCAGCTCCAAGTCCAGGCCCCCCTGCTCCGCCCCCCCAGGCCTCCGCACCCGCACCCGCACCCGCACCCTGCTTCTTGCTTCTTCATTTCTTCACATGGTCTGAGGGGGAGAAAGTGTCTCCCCCGCTGAGGAGGACAGAGGGGCTGGGACCCAGACACCTGGTTCCCAGCCTCGGGTTCCCTTCTTGAGCCTCAGTCAAACTGATCTTTCTTTGTATTTTTATTTGATGTAATTTTATTTTATTTTTTGCAGTACTGGGGATTGAAGCCAGGACCTCTGCACTGAGCTACCTCCCAGCCTTTTTAAAAATTTGAAACAGGGCCGGGGATTTAACTCAGTGGTTTCGCCACCTGCTGCGCAAGAGCAAGGACCTGAGTTGGATCCCCGGTACTGAAAAAAAAAAAAAAAGACAAAAATTTGAAACAGAGTCTCACTAAGTTGCTGAGTTGCCCAGGCTGGGCTGCAACTTGCAATCCTCCTGCCTCAGCCTCCCAGTCTCCTGGGAGGTCAGCCATGTGCCACGACCGGCAGCAAACAGCCCCCGGGTTCAGAGCAGTGGCCTCGTGACCCAGTGCCTTAGAGCAGGAGGTGGAGGCTGTTATTATCCCCACGCGCTGGGGACCTGTGGCAGCCACAGCTCGGGCACAGGGGCCTTGGGCCCTCCCTCCGGCTCTTCCCATCCTGGCCCCGGTTGCACATCGCCAGGTGGGCGCCGCCAAGCTTTCGGCACGAGGGGTGCTGGTGTCACACGGCCACCTGGGGACCCGGGGCCACCCACCCACGCGCGGTCACAGCTTGGGCCTCCCCCCAACCCTGCTCGCAGGCTCGGGGGCCACACTGACTTCTGATGCCATATTGGGCGGTTCCTGGTCGTAGGGGAGCCTCGGTTCTCGAGTCTGGAAGACAAGACAGGACTGACCACTTAGTGCCCGGAGCGCGACAGTCTCTGGCGTTCCCCGCTCCCGCCGGACCCGCCGCCACACACTCACCCGGTTGTTCCCGCCTCCTGAGTCCACGAAGCCCGCGGGCTGAGCTTTTCTGGCCCACCAGGCGTCAGCTGCCCCTCACCCAGCCCTGACCCCGCCTCCCTAGGCGGTCGCACCAATCCAAGCCGGCCCAGCCAGGTGGGCGTTGCCTCCGCTGTCCAACCCGGGATGTGGGCGGGGCCTTAAGCAGGCAGAACCTGCCCAGGCCTGGACCGCGCCGGTGTCGCTGGGAGTTGCTGCGCGGGACCCGGTTCAGAGGTCAAGACTGTGACCACAGGCCCGGGCCAGATGAGCTCGCGAGATCCAGAAGGTGAAATGGCTTGACGCTCACTCAGTCATTCACCAAACACGCGCCAGGCCCTTCCCGGGCGCCAGATACACGTGGAAGAAAACAGCAATGAGCCGAAGCGGGTGCTTGAGCCTGGCGTCCCTGTCCCGGAGGGGTCCAGGTCCTCGGCGGTCGACACACCTGAGGTCGCAGGCCCGAGTGTCCGGCAGCGCGGACGGACAAAGGCTTCAGCAAAAGGGTTGCGGAGGAAGGGGGGGGGGGTGTCAGAGGACGGAGCCGTCGTCACCGTGGGAAACACCCTGGTAACTCGCTTCTGGTTCATCTTCACGACGGTTCTGTTTACCGATGGGGAAACAGACGCCAGCAAAGGGTGCGAATGAGCCGGGTGTGATGGTGCGCACCTATGATCCCAGCACTGAGGAGGCTGAGGCAGGAGGACTGCTGTGATTTGGAGGCCAGCCTGGGCTTCATAGTGAGTCGAAGAGCAGCCTGATCTACACAGCAAGACCCTCTCTTAACAGAACAAAACAAAACAAACCAAGCTAAAATAAACTAGATGTGATGGCACACACTTATAATCCCAGAACCTGGGAGGCTGAGGCATGAGAATCACATGTTCAAGGTCGGCCTGGGGTACACTGCAAGTTCCAGGCCAGGCTGAACCACATAACAAGATCCTGTCTCAAAAATAAAAAAAAAAATTTTAGGCCAGGTGTGGTGGCATGGGGCTGTAATTTAGCACTCTAGGAGGCTGAGACAGGAGGATTGCAACTTCAAGCTCCAGCCGGGGCAATCTTATGACTTAGTGAGACCCTGTCTCAAAATGAAAGGTTAAAAAAAGGGTTGGGGATGCAGCTCAGTGTGAAGGTCCTGGGTTCCGTCCCTAGTACTGAAAAAATGTTAAGACAGTGAATAATATGTTATGTGTATTTTACCACAATAAAAAGTTTTTGGAAAAGTAGAAGATGTAAAAATACGTATCATATAAACACTAATTATAAGCTCTAAAGTGCCTATCTTCATAGCAAAGTAAACTTCAAGGCAAGAAATATTACCAGAGATAAGGGGTCATTATAAATGATAAAAGAGTCTAATTATCATCCAGAGCTAACAACCTTAAATCCTCAATGGCTATGCTGCTAATATAGCTTCAAACATACATAAAGCAAAGATTAACAGAAAAGGACAAATAAGTAACTCCAAAATCATAATTGGAGATTTTAACATTTTTTTCCTCTGATTTTCCCTCTGTAATTGATAGAACCAATACACAATAAATCAGGAAAGATATAGAACATCTAAACAAATTAACCAATTTGACTTTACTGACATCTATAAAACAAGCCATCTAACAACTATAAAATAAATTACTTGTGTCCTTTGGAAGCAGCAGAATGATTTATTTTTATTTAAAAATGACCATTAAAGCTGGATGTGGTGGCACATGCCTGTCATCCCAGCACTTGGGAGGCTGAGGCAGGAGGATCACTGAGTTCAAGGCCAACCTGGGCTACATAGTGAGTTCAGGGCCAGCTTAAACTACACAGCAAGACCCTGTCTCAAAAAAAAAAAAATGACCCTTAAATACATGATGGTATATTGATACTATGAAACATAACTCAGCAACAAAAAGAAACAAACAGTTGATCTATGCAACAACTTGAATGAATGACCAGAAAATTATGGGAAGATAAAAGGCCAAGCCCAAAAGATACATATTGTGTGATTCCAATGACATCTTTTTGAAACGACAGAGAAGTAAATCTAGAGGGAGAGGACCAAGGAAGCATGGTGAATCCTTGGGGTTGGAACTGACCCCCATCATCTTCCTTGTGGTGGTGCACATGCAGACCTACTCCCATGATTCGGTGTATGGAACTTAACACCCTCACACATGCACACAGATTCGGGAAATCTGAATAAGATGGGGGCTGTATGGATGTCAGTATCTCAGTGCTATTATATTACAGTTTGGTAAAATGTTACCACTGGAGAGACTGAGCAAAGTGTAAAGGGATATCTCTGTCATTTCCGATAACCGCATGTGAATCTAGAAATGACTTCAAGAAAAACTCAGTAGCCGGGCATGGTGGCGCATGTATATAATCTCAGCACTCGTGAGGCTGAAGCAGGAGGATTGCCATGAGTTTGAGGGGAGCCTGAACTACAAAGTGAGACCCTGTCTCAAAAAACCAGAAAAAGGGGGCTGGGATTTAGCTCAGTGGTTCCACTGCCTGCTGCGCAAAAGCAAGGACCTGAGTTCGATCCTAGGTACCAAAAAAAAAAAAAAGTTAATTATCTCTGTTATATAAGATAGTGGCAGAAAGCGGACTAACTTGCCTTCTCACAGAAATGAGCTTCCCTTCGCTATTTTGTTCAAAGCAGCAGTTTGCTGCTCCTGCTCCCTCTGCTTTCTCTCCCTTTTGCTCCTCCAGTCACTCTCTGGTGTGCTGTACTTGTCACCTACTGCTGATTGTTCCTGCACATTAGAACCTAAGCAGGGATTTTGTTTTGTTTTGTTTTATTTTTTAATTTATTCCGAAGACCAAAGCACTGAGCACAACACGTTTGTTGACTGAACAAAAAAGACTGAATAAATGAGTTATGGATGCCTAACTTGAATAGTTTGCTGTGAGTGAATAATAATGTCCAGCTGCAGGACAATATCTGGTCCCTGTTGTTGCTACAATTGATGAGAATATCTGTGCTTCCAGAAGCTGAAGACAGGAAGAAAAGGAGAGGGTTTTATTTTGTTTTGTTTTGGTGACTCTGAGGATTGAACCCAGAACCTTCATACTCAGCTACATTCTCTGGCCTTTTAAAAAAAAATTTAATATTTTGAGACAGGGCTTTGTTAAGTTGCTAAGTTGCTCAGGCTGGGCTGGGACTTGCAATCCTCCTGCCTCAGCCTCCCAGAGTGCTGAGGTTATGAGTCCACTCCATTACACCTGGCTGAGGAGAGGATCTTAATTCATTCACATCCTCTGAACACCACTCTAAGAAGCCCCGAGCTCTGACTCCTGCTTAAGGAGGGGAAAAAAGGCTGAGGACACTTTAGAGTCTGGTGGAGGAATTATCTCTACATGGATGAAGCAATAAACAAAAAGACAACTAGTATTTCTTGAGTTCTAACAGCATGTTAACATTCTATATTGATTATCTCCTTGAGGGGCCAGGGATTTGGCTCAGTGGTTCGCCGCCTGCTGTGCAAGTGCAAGGACCTGAGTTTGATCCCCGGTACCAAAAAAAAAAAGAGGGGTAAATTATCTCCTTGAGGCCGACTCTAATAGTCATACCCATTGTACAGATGAGGGAACTGAGTCTGAGAGAGGCAAGTAACTTGCCCAAAGGCACTGTTCCGGTGCATGTCTGTAGTCCCCCAAGACCCTCACACGCTCACAGATGGGGCTTTTCGGAGGTGATTAACCATGGGGGGAGGGCTACCGTTCTCCGCTCTTCGGAGGCTGGTTCTGGCCAGAAGAGGAGGCTCTGGGATATGGGCCGGAAGGGTTTATCCCTCACTCTCTGCTTCCTGTTCTCATCCCTTCGCCCTTGCCATTTCTATCTAGAGCCAGCCAACCTCAGATTGCAACTGTGAGCCTAAAGACCCCCTCCTCCTTAACTGTGGATGTGGGTATTGTGTCCCGTGATGAGGAGCGGGACTAAGACATCCAGACAGGAAGTGGCGGAATTTGGACATCTGCCTGGGGGGTGGTGTGCCGAGAGCTGGTTCAGCTGACGTTCATTACCTAAGGGTCAAGTTAACAAACAACTGGCTAATAGGATTCTTCCCAAATCGCAGATCGGTCACCTGCCTTTCCAGTCCCCAGGTGAGGAGCAGGCTTTGACAAGGAGGCTGTGCAGCCAGCTAAGTGCTGGGCCCTGGGTTTGATCCCCAGCGCCAAAATGTTTTTCTTTTTTTTTTTGGTACTGGGGATCAAACCCAGGACCTTGTGCTTGCGTGGCAGTACCAAAAATTTTTAAAAAGAATTGTTAAGGAGTCCAAGGTGTGTGGGTTGCTGTGTTCTTCATTTAAAGAAGAGCTATATCCCCATCCTTCTCTGCAATTTTTATTTTGTTTTTTTTCATTTGTTTATTTTTTTGGTACTGCGGATCAAACTTGGGTCCCTGCACTTGCCCAGCAGGCGGCAAAACCACTGAGCTAAATCCTGGCCCTGCAATTTTTATTTTGAAACAGGGTCTTTCTAGATTGCATACGCTGGGATGGAATTTACAATCCTCCTGGCTCAGCCTCCCGGACAGCTGGGATTACAGGTGTTTGCCTAGCCAATCACCGATCTAGGAGAAAGGATGAAAAAGCTCACCTGTCTGAAAAGTATCGGAGTGCAACACTGAATAGGACTCCACCTCCTCCCTGTCTCAGTCACATCTGAGCTGACCTCGGTCCCTCTTGGCCTGGCCAGTGGACGCCTCCCCACTCCTGAGTCATTGCCTCTGTGTGAAGCTGGGGCGCGGAGTTATTGATGTCCAGAGCTGGTCCGGCAACCAAGTGTCACCCAGCTGGGTGGAGGGCATTCATCCTCCTCGTTTGTACAGTCTGTGATCATCCGGGGCCACCACCAGATGTTTGCTGCTTGAATAACAGGAGCATCTTTAGCTTTACCTTGTGCTTCCCTTCCCTCAAGGGAGGGACACAGGATTCTCCAGGCAAATCCAGCCAGCTGGGCCTTGGGTGGTATTTGATTTACTTGGTGATTTTAAAGTCAATTCTTTTGCTGGGCATGGTGGTGTTGGAGACCAGCCTGGGCTACATAGTGAGTTCAAGGCCAGCCTGGGATTCACAACAAGACCCTATCACAAAAACAAACAAATAAATAAATAAAGTCAGTTCTTTTGAAAAACATTTTTTTCCTTAAATTCTTTTATTGGTACATTTTAGGTATTCAATACATTTACATTTCTCATTGGGAACTTGTACCTTTACATGATGTATCTTGGTAACATTTTTTGTAACTTAAAGTAGCATGTTCATTGAAAAACATTTAAGGGTTGGAGGTTTAGCTCAGTGGTGCCAGCCACCTGCCTGGCAAGCACAAGGTCCTGACTTTGATCTCTGGTTTTGCAAAAAGAAAAGAAAAGAAAAGAAAAGAAAAACATTTAAATTTAGAATGTGTAAAATTAAGAGCTAAACATCTCCCTTACTTCTCAAATCAACTCCCCAGACCCAACCACCAGAAAGACTTTTAACAGCTTTATTGATAGATAATTCATGTACATATGTGATAAAAAATTCATATTCAGATAAACTCACCACTTAAAGAATACAATTCAATGTTTTTAGTAAGTAGGGTTGTAAGTAGCATCCCCACCAATCAGTTTTAGGACTTTTTTGTTTTGGGTTTTTGAGACAGAGTCTTGCTATGTAGTTCAGGTTGATTCTGAACTCACTGTGTGGCCCAGGCTGGCTGTGAACTCACAGTGATACTCCTGCCTCAGCCTCCTTTTTTTTTTTTTGGTACCGGGGATCAAACTCGGGACCTTGTGCTTTTGAGGCAGGGGGTGAGACCACGGAGCTAAATTCCCGGCCTGCCTCAGCCTCTTGAGTGCTAGGATTACAGGTGTGCATGACCACACCTGGCTAAATATTTGCAAATTAGGTTAAAAAGGGCTGCAAAATTTTGCAGTACGACTTACATATTCATACAGCTGAAGTCATTTATCAACTCTTACACTAATAGATAAAATTATTCCATTCATTAAAAGTAGTTCAGGAGCTGGGGATTTAGCTCAGTGGCACTGTGGCTGCCTCGAAAGCAAAAGGTCCTGAGTTCGACCCCCGGTACCAAAAAAAAAGTAGTTCAGATCTAATAGTCATAAGCTATTATTAATGGCTCTCTTTTCCTGTGATAACATTTGAATATTACTTTAAAAATTTTAAAATTTATTTACTTATTTTATTCTGAGACACATCTAAGTTGCTGAGTTACACAGGCTGAGCTTGAACTTGTGATCCGCCTGCCTCAGCCTCCAGAGTGCAAGGATTTCAGGCGTGTGCCACCAAGCTTGACTTTATTTTTTTTTCCCCTGGTACTGGCGATCAAACTCAGGACCTTGCACTTGCAAGGCAGGAGTGGCACCACTGAGCTAAATCCCTGGTCCAAGCTTGACTTTAATATTACTGCTCATATCAATTCCCTTACTAAATGAAATCTACAAACTAAATTTTTTAAAACTATTAATGACTAGGGCTGGGGATTTAGCTCAGTGGTTCCACCGCCTGCCTCGAAAGCGCAAGGTCTGGAGTTCAATCCCCAGTACCAAAAAACCCCCAAAAAACTGTGAGCCAAAACTATTAATGACTAAAACTCCACAAACCAAGTAGTCAAACTCATAGAAAATTTTGGGAGAACAAGTGAGATTAGATATTGAACAAGGTTACCATTCATTCATTCATTCAGACAGGGTCTCACTGTGTAGTTGAATTCACTGTATACCCCAAGCTGGCCTCAAACTCACAGCAATCCTCCTGCCTCAGCCTCCAGAGTGGTGGGATCACAGGCATGTGGCGTCACATCCAGCTAAGGATACCGATTATCACACAGTAAAACTCTTCCATTTAATCATGATTCTGATACCAATAAACTCCCTTAAGGAATTTTGCAAAAGTTGATCTGCTAGGAAGTGAAATAACCCTTTAAATGTTACTGGCCACTGCAACGTATAGCCAACAAGGGGTCAGTCAGATGTAATCCACTTTCAGATATATATATATATATATATTTTTTTTAACTTTCAGATATATTCTTCCAAAGATCGACGTGACACAAACCTGGAGTGAAAACATTTGGAGTTGTTACTACTTTTTACTGAGTTCTTCTCCACCCTGTTTTTCTTTCTTTCTTTCTTTCTTAACCCTATTTCTATTTTTCCTCAAGATTTTCTATTTTTTAATCAGGTGTGGTAATGCACACCTGATATCCCAGCGATCAGGGGGCTGAAGCAGAGGGATTGCCATGAGTTGGGGCCAGTCTGAAATACATAGCCAGACCTTGTCTCAAAAGCATGTTTTTCTACCTTTAACCCCTGTGACCACAACCTCTATATTTTCAGATACCAAGCGCCCTGGTAAAATGTAAAATCAGCTGTACATGGTGACACATGGTGACGGGGGGGGGGGCTGGTGCTGGGGACCCAGCCTGAGCAATTTAGCAAGAACCTGATCATAGCCCCCCCCCCCCCCCAAAAGGTCTGGGGATGTAGTTCAATGCAAAGGGCCTGGGTTCAAATATTGCAAAAATAAATTTAAAAAGTAAATCATGGGATTCCATCTCCCATAACCTTATTTTTTCCTATATATTATTTTCCTTTAGGTCACCCCACATCGTTTTGTGAGTGTAAAAATCCTGCTTTAAACATTTCCCCAGCATATCAAATACAGTATGCTGCATTTCTCATGGCCTCCAGACATCATGCTGTATGGCTGAGGCGGGATTTATCAATTTCTCTTGCTGGTCATTTAGGCTATTTCCCAGAACACCACTACACCTGCATCTTTCCTTCTGTTGCACAAATTTCCTGACAGGCCCCAAGGTCAGAGACAAAGCCTGTTATTTGCCAAATAGCTCTCGAGGAAGGATGGGAATAGGGGGGAGAAGGCGTGTAGGATTAAAAACATTTTAACAACGTTTTAAACTCAATTATAAAACACATCCAGAAAAGTGCACGTAAGTGCACAGCACACTGACTCTCCAGACACCTGAACTCGGCCGCCAGAGGAGCACCCAGCTCAGGAAATAGCAGCACACAAGCCACCTTGCCCTCGTCTCCATGCAGGGGTTGGATCTTAATGTCGCACAAGCCAACTAATCCGATCGCGTCTTCGCAAGCCTAGTTTATTAATACTTTGATAAAACCTAGACCACAACAACGTAAGTCCTGTTCTCAAACGCTTAATAGGTTGAAGCCGTGGTAGGCGAGGGCGCAAAATCCCGGAACACGCCCTTGTCCGGGGTCAGCCAAACTCCCGGCGTGCAGCGGGGCGCTCCCGGCCTGCGCTGCGGCTCTCCCGGCCTGCACCGCGGCGTGCAGAGCTGGCGACCCGGGATCTCCGCGAGGAAGGTGGGCGTGGCGGTGGCGCAGCGAGGTCTCCTTGTACGCGATAAGGCAGGACGGCATGGAAGTGTAAGCCAACTCTGGCCGTTCTTGGCTTTGGGCCGAGGGGCACCGCTGGGGACTGTCAGGCCACCGCGAGCCCGCGTGGGGACGGCGACTGGTCCGTCTCGGCTTGGAGAGGGGCGGCAGGAGAGGAACTCGCTGGGGCCTCGGATCTCCGCGCCCCAGCCACGCCGTGAGCCTCCTCCCTCCCCAGTTCATTTACTGGTGTTTCCTGGGGCCGGTGGGAAGGGGTGCCCGGCTTGGTATTTGAGCCGGAAGTTAGGAGCTGTAAAGCCAGCGCCGTCGTCCCTTAGGTTCCTGGAGGAGATTCGGAGACTGGGATAGAATCGTGCTTGCGACTGTGGAGTAGCTGTTAGCCCTGTGAGAGACGAGGCCGGGTTTCTGGGGAGAAGAAAGCGTTTAAAGCAGAATTGGGACCTCAAACAGCACAGGGTCTGTGGGTGTGGCATGCATGTGTAGAGGGAGTAAAAGTCTAAGTTTTAACGCCGCATGGTCTTGTACATGCTTGTTCATCGTACCACGTGCAAGTGGAAGTTTTTGCACCCACTAAATTAATTCTGCAACCCACTGATGGGAGTTATTCTGCAACTTGAGAAACATTCACGTAGACGTCCCTCTGTATTCAAGTTTCGGGACCTTCTGTGGATACCAAAATCCGAGGATACTCAAGTTCCTTATATAAAATGATGTAGTATTTGTATGTTACTTATGCAGGTTCTCCCGTGCACTTAAATCATCTCTAAATTACTTAGGCTATCTAACATAGTGTAAGTGCTATGAAAATAGCTCTTAAATTGTATTATTTGGGAAATAATGACAAGTCAGTGCCAATGCGTTTCCCCCCTAATATTTTTTGTCAGCACTTGGTAGAATCCGAGATTGAAGAGCCCACAGATAGGGAGGGCCAGTTATACATTACTCTGGTCTAAGCCATCATTATTCATTTTCCCTTTCCTAGAACATTGTTTGTCAGCATACAAACCTGCTTTATCTTAAATTCTTTGTTGTGGCATTCATCTTTGCCTTTTGCTGTTTTTGTTTCTCATCAGAGCAAAACATCTTGGAAGTGTTATGTTTATCCCCTCATGCTCTGTCTCTGTCTCTGTCTGTCTCTCTCTTCCTGGTTTGGTGTGGTTTTTTTTTTTTTTTTTTGGTACTGGAGATCGAACTCCAAACCTTGTGCTTGTGAGGCAAGCGACAGCACCAGTGAGCTAAATCCCCTGCTGGTTTGATTTTTTGAGACAGGGTCTCGCTATGTAGTCCAGGCTGGCCTTGAACTTTCCATGATCCCCTTGCCTCAGCCTTCCAACCAAGTATGCCACCATGCCCAGCTTATCCCCTCATTTGCTTAACCATTCTGCTGGCCTTTCCTTCTTACTAGTCTACAAAATGGTTCTTGTGAAGATTTTTTAAGCCCTCCGTCTCATCAAATCCAAAGTTTGACTTTTCTGACCTCAGCCTTCCTGATTTCTTAGTAACAGTTGTTACAGAAACTCTAGAATGTCTCTCAGCTTTATGACACGCTCCTGGATTTCCACGAATGTCAAAGATGACATCTCAGTGTCCTCTTCCTTTGCTTGGTGTTTAAATTTATATGTCTTAGAGCCTAGTCTTGGGTCTCTGTCCACACTTGCCCATTTTGCTCACCCATATGCATATGGTTCCCCACAGTGTATTTCTATCTCCTCTCTTATCATGTCAGATTGCTTGGACCAAAAATCCAGCTCTGTTTCTTATCGCTAACCATCACCCAGTATCATGCAGCATTAGGGTATTTATTTATTTATTTATTTTTGGTACCAGGGATTGAACTCAGGACCTTGCGCTTGCCAGGCAGGTGCAGCACCACTGAACTACATCCCCGGCTAGGTTACATTTTGTTTGTTTGTTTGTTTATTTATTCATTGGTACCGGGGATCGAACTTGAACTTGGGTCCTTGCACTTGTGCATCAGGCAGCGAAACCACTGAGCTAAATCCCCGGCCCTAGGATACATTTTAAATGCAGTTACTTTCCACTGTCTCCACTGTTGACTTTGTAGTCCATCTCTAGTCTGGATTAAACTATTTTAATAGTCTTTTGGCTTCCACTCCTAGCCTTCTTCCATTTTCTTCTCTATGCAGCAACCAGAATGATCATAAAGATTAATGGGATCAAGTTAGCCCTTGTGTAAAACTCATTGGCTTTCTATCTTTTACTGCCTTGTCCCAGCCTTTGCCATCCTCCCTTCCTCCAAAGTGCACATTTTCCACTGATAGATCGCTCTCTGTCCTTCTAAGCCTTTCTACCTCAGGACCTTTGCACTACTGTTCCCTGTGCCTCATACTTTTCCTCCTTTCCTGCTGCCTTCTTAGATGGAATGTCCCTTTTCAATCTAGAATAAGTCCTCTTCTTTTGTTTTTTGTTTTTTTTGGTACCAGTGATCGAACTCGGGTCCTTCCACTTGTGAGGTGGGCGGTGGAACCACTGAGCTAAATCCTCGGCCCAAGTCCTCTTCTTTTGTAACATCTTGGTTTACTTTCTCCTTAGATAAAGTTGTCTCATTTAGTTCCATGAAGGCAGCAACCAGCATCTTATCTTGTGCTTAGCACTGTGTTTGCCACACCAGAAGGTATGCAGCAAGTACTTGTTAAAAATAATACCTTTATAGGATTCATTTAGTAAATATAAATTAACTAGTCTTCCATTTGCTGGGCGTATAGATGTTTCTGATTTTCCTAAGTGAAGTAGATTGAATCAGTGTATAATAACCTGTCCACTTCTCCCAAGGAGCCTTTGATTTGTTGAAACCAACTGTGGAGCTGGAATTGATGAGAAGATGGGGTCTCCTGAGGTAGGCCCCGGGGTGGGCGTGGAAGGGCCCTGAAATGGCAGGGGCTGGAGCCTGACTTCTGATCCTGCCTGGCGCTGACATGGGTGTGACCTCAGGGACTTCAGCAGAGCCCTCCCTGAGAGGGCAGAGTGCTGCTCTGTCAGGACTCCTGGGACCTGACATCAGTAGGCGAGGGAATGTTCCCCGAGTTTTACTGTTTTCTTTGCTTGGCTTAGTGAGTATAAACCTGAGTAAATAGTACATGGGAACATATACTAGAAATTCTGTTGTACTTTATTTGACTGAATGACAAGAATTTAAAGACATTTTGTTCAGGGCTGGGAATGTTGCTCAATGCAGAGTGCTTGCCTAATGTGTGAGGGCCTGGATTCTAGCCCCAGTGTGACAAGAACAATGTAAATGTATCTTCCTTGTTTCCAACATAAAATACCCATAGCAGAATTAAGTACTCTGTGTATGAGGTACTTGGTATGTGTCTCACTGTCTAGTGCCTTGGGAATCACTGTGTGCCTGGAAAGCTTTCTGTCTTCAACTGGGGAATGGACACTATTTGCACTCTGGTATCTTTTTTTTGTGAAGTCCTGTCAGGATTTTTTCCCCCCAGTACTGGGGCTTGAACCCGGGGCTTTTGACATGAGCTACATCTTCAGACCTTTTTTTTGGGTGGGGGGGGAGTATTTTGAGACAGGGTCTCTGCATTGCCTCAACAGGCAAAAACTTGTGATCCTCCTGCCTCACCTTCCCAGAGTACTGGGATTATGTGAAGATTTCTCAAGTTTTCCAGCCAGATATACTGAGATTTAGAAAAGTTGGGAAATAGACATAATGACAATTCAGTAACAGGCCTAAGAAAGCATACTTGTTTGGTAGCTCTGAAGAGTCTACAGCAGGTTAAATTGTTCTTTGACTTTGAAGCCTGCATAGATTTCTGTACCAAAGTTTATTTTTTCAGAGCATGAATTGACACCGTAGGCTGAACATAGGGGAAATTGAGCAATTCTGTTCTTTATTGTGTTCGCAAGTTAGCTGTGTGGCAATTAATGGACACTATTTATATGGTGTTTTTTTGTGAGTACGTGCGTACTTTTAAGCAAAGCCTGCGAGTAGATCGTTTTGTACTGTTTATTCAGAATTCGGTTTCCCAAGGTAGTTGTTTATGTCTATTAAATTGACTCAGGAAGTTAAGCAGATTTTACAGGTTAAACTTCAAAAAGCAAGTTACATTCAGCCAGCTAACTCATTACTCAGGGAAACTAAGTAATTGCCTACTTACAGCGTATTTGAACAGTCTTTAAAATTCACTTGGAATTTTTTTTGGGGGGGACAGGGTCTTGCTGTGTAGTTCAGCCTGCCCTTGAACTCACTGTGTAGCCCAGGCTGGCCTCAAATTTGCTGTGATTCTCCTGCCTCAGCTTCCCGTGTGCTGGGATTACAGGCATGCACCACCGTGCCCAGCCCAATGGAATATTTTCTTTAAAAAAACTGCATCAAATTAGTACTATTCTGGGCTGGGGATTTAGCTCAGTAGTTTGCCGCCTGCTGTGCAAGCTCAAGGACCTGAGTTTGATCCCCGGTACCAAAAAAAAAAATTAGTACTCTTCTGTCCTCTCTCTACCTCTGAGCTATATCACCAGCCTTTTCAAAAGGCTTTTTGTTTGTTTTATTTTGCACAAGGTCTTGTTGTGTCACCCAGGCTGGTCACCAGCTTAGAGTCCTTCTGCCTCAGTCTCCCAAGTAGATGGGATTGTATGCATGAGCCACCATGCCTGGTTAGGAGTATTCCAAGTCTTACAGGAGAATATGAAGTTTTGTTTAGGCAGAAGTGTGACTGCATATGTCTGGAACTACTGTTACTAAAATAGAGTCCATATGCCGCCTGCTGCACAAGCTCAAAGACCCGAGTTCGATCCCCAGTACCAAAAAAAACACCATAGAGTGCATAATCACCCTTCTTCCCTTGTCCCCATAATGTTTACTGTAGAGCAGACACAGCTGCTCTGTAGCTACAGCTTGTGGTACATCATTGACAGATATGCCAATTGACAGAGTTTTGTAGCTCTAAAAGACATTGGGGAAAATGTGTTTTATATGATCTATTACAGATTACAGTAATGTCGGTTTCTAACTTTATGGAATTCTTTTTTTTTTTTTGGTACCAGGGATCAAACTTGGGTCTTTCCGCTTGTGAGGCAGGCGGCACAACCACTGTAAATCCCCGGCCCCTCAATGAAACATTTTTGCAGTCAGGATTGTGTTAAGGGATGCCTCTTAGTGCATTACATTATCGTTATTGCGCTGTTAAAGTGGGTAACTTGATTAAGTTGATATCTGTCTGGTCTCATCATAATCTGTTCTCCCAACCCTGTCACATAGCTGTGTTTATAGTCACTTCTTGAGAATAAAAACTCTATGAGAGAATTTGCCAATACATAACAGCTCATTTAAGCCATCATAATAGATGCTGTACCCATTTACCTTGTTTTTCTTGGTGCTGGGGATTGAACCCAGGGCCTTGTGCATGCTAAGCACATGTTCTACCACTAAAATACACCCTAGCCCTAATTGACCCTTTATTAAATAAAGGAGGACCTAATGTATATTGGCATTTACTCTGTATTTAGCTAGATAAGAAAAATTATTTCTGGAGAAGAAAATCAATGAATAAATCAGATTTTGCTGGCCAGAATCTGCAAGGTGCAGTACCTGTTTACACTGGATCTTAGCGAGAAGGCTGAGAAGCAATGCAGTACCTGTTTAAAGAGCTATTGTTCTCCTGGTCCCCAAACACAAATTCATTAAAATGTCTATGAGGGTCTAGGGGTGCAGCTCAGTGTTAGAGTGCTTGCCTAGCGTGTGTGAGGCGCTCCTTGGTCCAACCCCCAGTACCACAAAATAAAACAGAATAAAATGTACATGGAGGAAGATTGCTCTCCTCTGTGTTCTGGAAAAGGCAGGTGATGTTCTTTGGATCCGTGCATTAACAGTGTTGACTTGAATGGGGGGCACATGGGACAGCTTTCTCAGGGCCCAGGGTGTGCTGCATGCCAGGGTGAGGCGTGATTTGGGAGTAAATATGACAGTGGCCACTGGGTTGGACCCACCTGCCCTGAAGAATGAACATTAGTGTTCTGGGTGAACTGCTACAGGAAGGGCCATCCCAGTGCCCCAAACTCACAGGCAGCAGGCGCAGTGCTCCTTTGAGAGCATAAGGCGGGAGGGCTTGTAATTCAATTCCAAGCAGATAGGAGGAAGTTCCTGATTAAGCAGGCATAGGATTCAATTTGTCATTTTCAATTATAAGCAAAGCACCTCATGTACCACTAATTATGCATTGGCCTTCCTGGGTTGGGTTCTTTTCAACTATATTTCCCTTTGTGCCCACTGTGAAATCGTAACTACTTGCTGAATTACTGGTAGCATTTGGGTTAAGTTTTTTATGTGCTGACATGATGACAGTGCTGATGTCACTGTTCTGAAAACCTGAGGCCTAGGTCTGTCCCCGTGTAAACTGCCTGCTACTTTTGCTGTTGTTTCTGTTTCTTTTTTTTTTTTTAGGAGGGGTCTTGCTATATAGTTCAGGCTGGTCTTGAACCCCCTAAGTAGCCCAAGCTGGCTTCAAACTGGCAGTGATCCTCCTGCCTCAGTCTCCCAAGTGCTGGGATTACAGGCCTGCACCACCATGCCTGCATTGCTATAATTTTTTTATTGGTACATTTTAGATGTAAATAATGATCACATTCATCATAGGGAATTTGTACCTGCACCTGATATATCTTGCTGCTTTTTTTCCCATTCCGCTCTCCTCCTTTCAATCCCTCTTTGCCTCCTTATTTATAAAAGCTTTATCCCATTTTTTTCTATTCTCTTTTTTTCTTGTCCCTTCCTCCTCCCTCTCCCTCCCTTGTTCTCCTTCTCATTTGAACATTTTCTTCCTATTTCCCAATGTCTATTATATATTTTTGGTCCTTATTTACACTTTCAGTTTCTTAAACCAGAGAAACAATGTGGTATTTAAACATGTGTGTCTGATTTAGTTCACTTAAGATTATGGTCTCAAAGTGTATCCATTTACCTAGGATTGTCTCAAGCTTATCTTCTTTATGGCAAAGTAGTACTCCATTGCATAAAAAAACCACCTCTTCTTTATCCATTCGTCGGTTGATGAGTTGTTTCCAAGATTTAGCTATTGTAAACTGTGCTGCTATAAATAGGGGTGTGCATGTCTCACTGTGGTATGATGCTTTTAATTTTTAGGCTGTACTTCTAAATCCTAATGTATCTCCATTTTTTGTTTTAGAGGAGTAAGCTCAAGGAGAAATTAACCCACTAAAATGCACACACCTTGTAAGTGGCAGATTGGGATGTAACTGTTGAATAATAAACTTGGGAAAATACACACTGTATGTGACAGAGCTAGCATATAAATCCATATCTGTCAGATTTCAAAACTGTGTTCTTAGTTATCATGATACTGTCTCCAGGCGGTTAAAAGCAATAAATACTTTCTGATGTGATGTTATAGATTATATCCATTATAATTTACTGCAAACCACACTCCTGTGTTCAGTCACACATGAAATGACATTTTGGCCCGATCATCTGTAACAGGGGAGGGACCAGGCTTTTGAGCACTGCTTGACACATAAACTCTGCCTACTGAGTTGATAGAGAAGACAAACACATTGGAAGTTCTGTGGGTGGCACAGGATTCTTGACCCCTGCTGTGTTAGGTGCATAGCCTGTTCTGTTTCTGTTGACTCAGCCAGGGACTTGGATATCCAGAGCTGGCTCGGGAAGGTGGGTGGTACTGGGAGAGGACCAGGTTTAAAAGGCAGCAGCACTGTCTCTTCACTTCTTTCTGGCACCTGCACTGCTTATCAGACCCCTCTCTCCTTTGCAGTTTTGCTCCCATGTTCCTCCTATAACTGACTTCTCAGGTATCTGACTTCCCTTAACTTCTGCCAATGGAAATTTGGGATCAATACAGTGCTTTAGTCCCTTACCTTGTGATGAGTGTGTGACATGCTGTGGCCATAAAAAGGAAAGCCTGGGCTGGGGATTTAGCTCAGTGGTTCCGGCGCCTGCCTCGCAAGGACAAGGTCCCAAGTTCAATCCCCTGTACCAAAAAAAAAAGGAAAGCCTGCATTGAAATTGTCCATGGCCAGGTAAACCATGTTGATCTTGAGACATTTCTCAGCTTTACATTTTAGTGCCAGTGCCTGAACCAGGCTACTGGGACTTGACAGAGGAGTGATTTCACAGACAATTACTGTGCAGAAAGGGATGTTAGCCTGGACTGATGAGAGCTTGCTTTTCTTTTGCAGGAAGGATGGAAATTCAGTGCTGCTCAGTAACTACGAGGTAAATAGCTTTGACTGGACTATTTTTCCTCTCTGATGGTTTACCCTTTGTGCAGATCATTAAAGCAGGACAGAGAGTGCCGCCTGCTGGACCGGGGAGTATTCTAAGCTTGATGAATTATATGCAGGGAAACTGGGTAGACTTCATAGTGCACACCCTTCCCTACATCCCAGAGACTGGATCATCGCTTGGGATCCCTTCGTGGAATAGAAGCATCTATTTTAGAACCATTTCTGTCTGTAAAAGTTTCCTAATATACTATTCATACATTTTCCTAATTGCCATCTTTTTCCTATCAGTTGTTTGGAATATATCATCACTTTGGTCCTCATACAGCCTCAAAGATATTAACATTCTTATTAAAGTGAGAGTTTAGTTTACCATTATGAATAATCAGAATATGCAGATTTATAACTTTGAGGGCTTGAGGATAGGGCTGCTGGGGAAAAGAAAGAAAGAGAAAGAGGTTGGAGAGAGGGAATGTCACAGTGTTCTCATTTATCTCCTGCTTGTGTGGCTCTACTGTGGCATTAGCAGAACCCTCTGCTGGTGTAGAAAGAGCCATTCAAACACTCACTGTCAATTTCCCAAACGTCAGAGTCTGAACTCATGACAACTTAGAGGAGGTCTGGGTCTCCCTTGTGTGACACATGCAGAATGAGTTAGGTTGGTCATCTTCCTTCCTAAAGACAGCCTACGTGGTTCCTGAACACCTTGGGTTCAGTCCCCAAGCCACCCCCCCGCAATCACCTGCTTCCTGGACTCATTTGCTCTAAAGCAAGACTGGGGGTGAGTTTCTGGGAAGAAAGGAGATGTTGTACTTTCCTAATAATCCTTCAAATCCATTGACCTTGAAATAAGTGTATGCCTCAGATTTGCTCCGAAAAGCCAGGTGTGGTTGTGCTGCACGTCTGTAATCTCAGCACTCAGGAGGCTGAGACAGAAGGATCAGTACGAGTTTGAGGCCAGCCTGGGCTACATACTGTAGTGAGTTTAAGGCCAACTTGGACTACATAGTGAGACCCTGTCTCAAAAAAATTTTTTGTTTTCACTCACAAGTCTTTTGTGTATTTCTTACCAGGTGTTCCAGTTATTAACTGACCTGAAAGAGCAGCGTAGAGAAAGTGGGAAGAATAAGCACAGTGCTGGGCAGCAGAACTTGAACACCATCACGTATGAAGTGAGTCCGGGCTTCTGCAGGCCTTGCCGACCTTGCCCGTTGGGAGGGGCTCATTCTGCTGGTGACCACCCACCAAGTCAGATCGCCTTGTACCTGACTTCAGTAGTTTTGCTCTAACCCAGTCTCTGTTCTGTTTTCACAAGCGGGAGGAATACAGATGCTTGTGTACGGCTTTCCTCACTTCTAAACAATGTTTGCAAGTTCGGAGGTCCCCACCCTGAACCCCGCTCTGGTGTAGTAATTCCCTGGAAGGACTCATAGGAGTCATTGTAAGCTGTTCCATTCACAGTGTATTCATTATATGGGAAGGATATGGGTTAAAATGGGCCAAGAGAAGAAGAAAGTAGGGGCAGAGTCCAGGAGAAATGCCAGGTGCAGAAATCCCATTGTCACGTGGCCCCTTCCTGCAGTCATGTGTCTCATAGGCACCAAGTCTTTCCAGCCAGGGAAGCCAGCCACGCCTTGGGGTCCAGGGTTCTTACAAGCAACCAGCGCCACCCGGAAGCTGTGCAGATGGCCACCCTCTCCCCTGACTCACACTTCAAGCTATCTAGTATGTCCAGAGGGCCCACACACTGACAGGCACACATTCCAGGGCCAGACTTCACCTCCCAGAAGCCTTAAGACAAAGGCTAGAACTTCTTTTGGGGCAAGGCCAGGTTCTTTATTTCACTAAAAGCAGTTAATTTTTAAAAAATTAGGCCGGGTGTGGTGGCACATGCTGAGTACTCAGGAAGCCGAGACAGGAGGATCACTTTGAGTTCAAGGCCAGCCTGAACTACATAGCAAGACCCTGTCTCAAAACCCCCCCCCAAAATTTAGTGCCAATTGCATAAAGAAGAAAGCAGAAGCAATTTATAGTTTTAATACATGTTGACGTTTTGCTGTGTTCTGTCCTGATTTTATACTTTGTCCTTAAAATTTATGCTATTATATTTGTTATGTGGTATTTGATTTTTTTTATTCGTCATTTTAATTTAATGCTTTCTTGCTATTTCCTTTGAATTCTGGGGTTTGTTTGGTTTTGTTTTTTGGTCTCTGTAAAGGATTTGGTTTTAATTATCTTTAATTTATCTTTCTAAAGGTTTTATTGAACTTTGATCAAGGAAGTAACAGTTTAGCACTTTCATTGCAATTCCTCCTCTTCCAGTTTTGCTCATTTAATGGTGCATTTTAAACTTTTTTTTTTTTTGGTACCAGGAATCGAACTTGGGTCCTTGTGCTTGAGCAGTAGGCGACAAAACCACTGAGCTAAATCCCCAGCCCTAAGCACATTCTTGAATGTAAGTTAAAACCTTTAAGTCAGCCAGATGTGGTAGTCCACCCTTGTAATTCCAGCACTCGGGAGGCTGAGGCAGGAGGATCACTGAGTTCAAGTGCAGCCTGCACACATAGCAAGACCTTGTTTCAAACAAATCCCCCTCCAAAAAACCAAAGTAAAACAAAACCCTTTAATTCAGATCTAGTCCAGACCCCTAGACCCCTGCACATCCTGTTTAATTACACTCCTAGGAATCCAGAAGCAACAGTCTTTTCTCCTTACTGACGGCCCTTTATCCCGGAACTTCCCCTGCTTTCTACAGTCCTGCTCTGCTTACTGTAGCCAGCATTGGATCCTTGTAAACAACGTCTACCTTTTTTCCCAAAGTTTTTGTTGCTAAAAACTTCTTTTCCTGGTATCGGGGAGTGAACTCAGGACCTTGTGCTCTTGAGGCAGGTGCTGCACCACTGAGCTAAATCCCCAGCCTCTAAAAACATTTTTAAAAAGCTCTCAGAGCTGGTAGTATGGTTAATGGTAGAGCGCATGCTTAGCATGCTTGAGACCCTGGGTTGATCCCCACCCAGTACCACCTGTTAGTCAGTCTGTCAGTCCTCTTGGCTCTGAGCAGTGGACAGATTGCAGCCATCTCTAGCTCTGTGGCTAGTAGTCCCAGGAACTTGTCCCAGGACCAGGTCCTTTTTTCGGCTAGCATCTGTAACCACTCAGTAAACCCTTTTATTCAGAGATCCCTGAGTCTGCAGAGTTTTGGTTTAACATAGGTATCATGTTGTCTGTTATTATCTGTTTGTATGGAGGAGTCTGAGACCAATGTGATTTTTGCACCCTGTTTTTCGTGCTGTGGATTGAATTCCAGATCTTGTGCATGTAGGGCAAGCACTCTGCTCCTGAGCTACATCCCTAGCCTTTTTCATTTTTATTTTGAGATACAAGTCTCACTGAGTTGCCCAGGCTGGCCTCATTTTTGAGATCTTCCTGCCTCAGCCTCCCATGTAACCGGGATTACAGCCATGTACCACCAAGCCCACCAATATTTTGTACTTCTGAGAGACTCTTGGATGATTAATGTTACTGTTTTTCGGGTTTGAACTTACTCCATTTTATTTTATAATGTTTTATCTTATTTATTTTTGGTTTTTTGAGACAGGGTCTTGCTATGTAGTTGAACTCACTGTGTAGCCCAGGCTGGTTTCAAACTTGCAGGGATCCTCCTGCCTCAGCCTCTGAATGCTGAAATCAAAGGCATGTGCCACCATGCCTGGCTCTGGGATTCCCTTCTTTTTTCTTTTTTGTACTGGGGATCAAACTTAGGATCTTGTGCTTGCAAGGCAGGCGGCGGCATCACTGAGCTAAATCCCCGGCCCTGGGATTCCCTCCTTAAACTAATTTTTTTTTTTTAAGGTTTTGAAATAATTTTACAGGAGAGTTTCAGAGATAATGCTGAGAGTTCCCATGGACCCTTTCCCTAGTTTTGTAATGTAAACATCTTATATAATCACAATACAATTATCAAAGCCAAGAAATTAACATTGATGTATACTATTAAACTAGATTTTACTTGAATCCCCCCCTGCCTTTTTTTTTTTGGTTCCAGGGATTGAACTTGGGTCCTTGTGTTTACAAGGCAGGTGCCGGAACCACTGAGCTAAATCCGCCCCCCCCCTTTTTTTTTAAGAGTAGGAAAAATTTATTGAGAGAAAGACAGCTTCTGTCTTAAGAGAGACAGAAAGGGGACCAGAAAGTGCCTGCTCTTCTCAAAGGTGTTTTATGAGGTAAAGCCACGAGGTGAGGGACGTTCAAGGTGGGACAAAACTATGATCAACCAATAAGATTATGACAAGGATAGTTAAATTTTTTTTTTTGGTACTGGGGATGGAGCTCAGATCCTTGCGCTTGCAAGGCAGGCGGCGGAACCACTGAGCTAAATCCCCAGCCCCAACTTAGGTAATATTGATTAAATGGGAATCAAATGAGGGAGCAAGTCCTCTAGCAAGTTTACAAGGAATGAGCGAGGATTTTCTGTAGTAAGGGGTGGGTCACTTTCTTGGAAGACCCTGGTCCCCCACCCAGGTGATTGATGCCTATTTAGAATATCAGTCACTTCTACTCCTGCTATGCTGGTGTGGTAGTTTCTCTTCTTTTGTAATGCTGGCCTTCAGTGAATGTGTCTTGATGGTCTCCGTGTTGGCTCCTTGTGGGTCGGCCCTGTCTAACTGCCCCCATCCAGTGATCTTGGTGGGGAGGCCTCCAACATGGTATAGGGCAACAAGCAATCCAAATAAGCAAAAATAATCCAACCAAGGGAATAGTATAACTCCCAACCTGCTGGGTATCTGAAATGTGAGTTCGTGTTCTAAAATCGAAGAATGAATTCTAAGAACAATGGAGTAAGAAAAATTTATTGAGAAACAGATAGCTTCTGTCTAAGAGAGACAGAAGAGGGGCCTGGAAAGTGGGTTGCCCCTGAATTTCCCCCATTTTTTCACTGCTGTCCTTTTTCTGTTCCAGGATCTAAACTTGGATGGCATTTTGTATTGATAAAAGAAAAAAATCTGAGATGAACTAAATTTAATTAGGAGAGCTGAAGGATGGAGGGGAAAGAAACAGTAAAAGCTTTGGGGGGAGCCAAGACCAGACTCTGACTTCCTGAGCTTGGGAGGAAACCTCCACGTGTCCAGGGCTGACCGCAGAGGTGGTGTCAGAACACCATGAGTCGAGTCTGACCTTGGTTTTCCTGTGTGATCCTGTGGGCTCATGGCTGTTTATTCTTTGGATTTCTTCTCTTTAAAAAACTTGTCTGTGATGTGATGATTTCATACTGATTTTTTTTTTAAGATCAGAAAGTGTTTTTTTCTAGAATTTCAATTATTCTTCCGGTTGTAGCCACTGGTTTTCTGCCTTAGGAATTCCTATTTCTGTACGTGAAGATTGGCTCCCTGAAGGCATTTGTTTTATAGAGAATGTGTAAAAGAAAATGTAAAAGACTATGTTATAGCCATTGCCTCCCCCCGCTTTTCTTATTGAGGTTGGTCTAATGCTTGCCTTTGCCTTTTCCTTTCTTTTTAGACATTAAAGTACTTATCAAAAACTCCATGCAGACACCAGAGCCCTGAGATTGTCAGAGAATTTCTCACAGCAATGAAAAGCCACAAACTGACCAAGTAAGTGGAGGCTGTCTTGGTAGGGAGAGAGCGGCACACAATGGAAAAGCTGTCCTCAGCAGCTGTGCATTCATGTTTCACTGGGCTTTGGGGTCGTAATGAACGCACCGGATTTTCAAGGTAGGGTTGTGATAGCATGGAGAAGACAACTGAGAGTTAGACATCCAGACCTTGCTAAAGCCAGGAACAGAACATGGTGGATTGCTTGTTTTGTTTGTTTTGGTTTTGTTTGCAGTACTGGGGATTGAACTTCTCACCGAGCCACATCCCCAACCCCTTTTTAAATTTAAAGAAAAAATTTTTTTTGGTACCGGGGATTGAGCTCGGGACCTTGGGCTTGCAGGGCAGGCAGCAGAACCACTGAGCTAAATCCCTGGCCCTTAAATTTTTAAGAATTTTGAGAGAGTCTCATTAAGTAGTTCAGGCTGGGCTCAAACTTGTGATCCTCCTGCCTCAGCCTCCCGGAGTGATGGGATTACAGGTGAGTGCCCAAATGCTCAGCTTCATTTTTTTCTTTTTAAGGGTGAATATACCACATTTATGTATGTATTTATTTTTAATTAATTTTTTTTTTGGTACCGGGAATCGAACTGAGGTCCTTGTGCTTGCACAGCCAGGCAGCGAAACCACTGAGCTAAATCCCCAGCCCTTTATTTTTAATTTTTATTTTATTTTTTTGGAAGAGGATCTTGCTATGTAGGTGAGGCTGGCCTGGAACTCACTATGAAGCCCAGGCTCCAACTTGCATTGATCCTCCTGCCTCAGCCACATGAGTACTGGGATCACAGGTGTGCATCACCACGGCTGGCCTGGAGTTTCAAATTTCTTTGGGGAACCACCATACTGTTTCTTCTAGCGACTGCACCATTTGACCTCCCCCAGTAGTGCATGGTTCAGGGTTTCTGCAGCCCTGCCTGTATATGTGGCTTTATTTTGAATATTCAGAATGATAAAATAATGCTGAACATCACTGCATGTGCTCATTGACCATCTCTGTATGTTCTTTGGAAAATGCCTAAATTATCCTTTGCCCATTTTTTTTTTTGGTACCAAGGATCGAACTCTGGTCCTTCCACTTGTGAGGCAGGCACCGGAACTTTGCCCATTTTTGAATGAGATTTTTTTTTTTTTGTACCGGGGATTGAACTCGGGTCCTTGCACTTGCAGGGCAGGGAGCGGAACCACTGAGCTAAATCCCTGGCCTGAATGAGGTTTTTGTTGTTGTTGAATTTGAGGGGTTTTTTTGTACCGGAAATTGAACTCAGGACCTTGTGCTTTTGAGGCAAGTGGTGGAACCACTGAGCTAAATCCCCAGCCCAAGAAGTTTTCTATATATTCTGGATATGAGACCCTTAACAGATAAAAAATTTGCAAATGTTTTCTGCTATTCTATGGATTGCCTTTTTGCTTTATTGATAGTATCCTTTTCATTCCAGAGTTTTTTATTTTAATGAAGCCCAATTTGTTTGTTTGTCTGTTGAGACAAGGTCTCTCTGTGTAGTTCAGGCAGGCCTTGAACTCAGGGCAATCCTCCTGCCTCAGCCTCCTGATATGTGCCACTCTGCCTGGCTCTATTTTTTTTTTATGCTTCCTGTTCCTTTGGTATCACACCCAGAAGTCATTGTCACGGCCAATGTCATAAAGTTTTCCTCTAAGAATTTTATAGTTTAGCTCTTACGTTTATGTCTAATTCTCTTTTTTTTTTGGTACCAGGTACTCGGGTCCTTGCCCTTGTGCAGCAGGCAGCCAAACCACTGAGCTGAATCCCCGGCCCCAAATTCATTTTGAGTTCATTCTTGTTAGGGTATAAAGATCCAAGTTCACTGTTTTGCATGTGGCTGTCTAGTTTTCAGCACTATTTGTTGAGTTTGCCTTTTCTTCTTGAATGGTCATGGTATCCATGTCAAAAATCATTGCCACATATTCAGCTGTTTCTCTCTGCACTGTCCCATTGTTGTGTGTCTGACTTTATGGCAGTGAGTACCACACTGTCATACTTTGATTGCTGTCACTTTCTAGTAAGCAAGTGTGGATCCTCCCATTTTGTTCCTTTTCCAGAGTAATTTAGCTGTTTGGGGACACTTCACATTCCATATGAATTTCAGGATAGATTTCTCTATTTCTGACAAAACATCATTGGGATTGCATTGAGTGTATGGGTCACTTTGGATGGGAATGACATCTTTGCGTTGTTAAGTTTTCTAATCCATGAATGCTATTCGTGTCATCTTTAATTTCTTTCAACAGTGTTTTGCAGTTTTTAATGCATGAGTCTTTCATTTCTTTGGTTAAGTTTATTTGTGTTTTCTTTGTGGTGCAATTGTGAATTAAATTGAAGTAGCCCCTGGAGTCACCCCAGGGACACTAGCGCCGGGTGTCACACACCTGTCACACACTCCTGTAATCCCAGCACTCAGAGGCTGAGGCAGGAGGATTGTTGCAAGTTTGATGCCAGCCTGTGGTACACTGTGAGCTCATGGTCAGCCTTAGTGAGGCTGTCTCAAAAACCAAAAAAAAAAAAAGAAAGAAGCGCTAACCGCCAGGGTGATCAGACCAAAGTGCTTATTAGGAGAACTAACTCGAGGTGTGCTGCCACTCTGCTCACAGTGGGCAGCTGGAAAAGAGATGGTCTCCCTAGGCCTGAGGTCCTGACATCCTCAGCCAGGGAGCAGTGTGTACTATTTATATGGCAATTTGAGGAATTTTGGCTCTGCGCTGGGGCCATTTTCTTTCAGTATTTTTGGCAACAACCTAAGCAGCTGTATCAGTGTCTGGGAATTTTTAAGCCTCTAGCCTAGGTTTAAGCCTGCTGAGCAAAACCTGTAGCTGGCTGCTCTTAGAGTGGTCAAGGCTGTGATTTTCGATTAGGCACAGAAAATGCAGGTCGAGGTGGCACACCTGTCATCTCAGCACTCAGGAGGCTGAGACAGGAGGATTGCTTTCAGTTCAAGGCCAGAGTGGGCTACATAATGAGGTCAAGGCCAGCCTGAACTACAAAGTGAAACCCTGTCTCAAGAGAAAAAAAAAACCCAACAAAGACTAAGTACAGGTCGGAGCTGGGTTGGGAGGCACCCTACAAAGTTAGGAGTTTACAACCACAACTGGTATTTGTATGTTGCTTGTGTCTCCTGTCACCTTGCTACATTCATTTATTAGTGGTAACTGGTTTTATATGGAGTCTCTAGACTTTTCTAAATGTAAGATTCTAGCCCCTGTGAACTGAGGTAATTTTGTGCCTTCCTTTACAATCTGTATACCTTTTCTTTGTTTTACCTGATTGGTCTGACAAGAATTTGCTAGTCTGTTGAGTAGAAGTGGCAAAAACAGGTGTTGAAATAGATGTCCAGTGGCTCTGCAGTTGAAGGTCTGTAAAACTGGGCTGAGTTCCAGTGGAAATGTCTGTCACCCAGGAACTCAGAGAGTGTGTATGTGTAAGAGAGCTTAGGTTGGCCTGCTTTGTATTCCTGGTGCACAATCCTGACAGCCAACTCCATTGCACAGGCGGATGAATGGAGACTCAGGTAGTTAAATACCTGACCCAAATCTGGCTAATAGATGGGGCCGGGGATTTAGCTCAGTGGTTTCGCCGTCTGCTGCACAAGCCCAAGGACCCAAGTTCGATCCCCGGTACCAAAAAAAAAAAATCTGGCAAATAGAATCTGTAAATCCAGTAGTGAAGTCTTTGAGTTTAACTAAAGCTTGATGTGGTTTTCTGAGAAAGCTAGTAAGTGCTCATATGAAGACAGTGAGTGAGCGGACTCCTAGTTCTCCTTGCTGGGCCCTGTGAACATGCCTTGTTTGGCCATTGAGAAGAGGTTGCTTTCAGAGAAGAATAGGACCCTTCCCTTCCAGACACCAGGCACAGGAACACCCCCAAATATCTTAGGGTCAATGCTGGATTTGTAGAAATACTTCTTTCAAATGATTTATTATATCTTTCACGTGTAAACATCTATTTGTATTGGAGAACAGTCATTGTCCCTATGAATTTCCTGTTTCTGGCCTTTTGTAATTAGTCCTTTCCCTCTGCCTATTGTGTGACAGCTGATCTGTTTTCCTACAGTTTTTCCTTTGCAGAAAGGCATAGAAATTGGATTCCCTAGTGTGGAGTCTCTTGGGGCTGGCTTCTTTCACTTAGTGTGATGCATTTGTGATTTACCCATGCTGCTGCATGTGTGGCAGTGATTTGTTTCTTTTATTGTTGGGTGACATCCATTGTAGAGAGTACAGGTTTCTTTTTTTAATTCACCACTTGAAATACATTGGAAAATTTTCTAGATTTTGACAGTTTTGAGTAAAGCAGCTACAGATATCTCATACAGGTGGTTCTGCCTTGGATCTTAATGTCCCCCAAAGGCTTGTGTGCTGAAGGCCTGGTCGCCGGCCTGTGGTCCTATGGCGAGATGGGACCTTGTAGCAGGGATTCAGGTCACAGGCGAGTCCCTGAAGGGGACATGGGGACCTGGGTCCCTCCCCTCTGCCTTTGCTTCTTGCTGCCATGAGGTGAGCAGCTCAGCTCCATCACGAACTCCCTACTGTGATTCCGCCTCCCCACAGGCCCGGAATGTTGCAGCCAAGTGACCATGGACTGAAACCTCTGAAGCTGTGAGCCAAAGAAATTTTTCCTCTCAGGTATTTTGTCAAAGCAACAGAAAGCTGAGTA